CAGCATGTTTGAAAAAAATTTTTGCCTGCCTAATTTTTTATCTGGATTCAATAAAACAAAATAAAATTTAAAAAAATTATTTCTGAGCACTAATTGTATGAGCTTACTTGGCTGATGAAGATACTTAGGAATTATTAGTAATTCAAAAAAATTAAATTTGAATTTGTTTTTGGACTCAAATTTTTTATTGCAAAATACCAAATTTGGATTTTTTTTTTTTTTTTAAACTCAAACGGTTTCCAACATATAGCTGAGTAAGCCTTACAAAAACTCTAAAAATAAATAAAGAATAAAGAATATTCTATTTTTTCTCTTCTTCCTTTATTTTTAAATTTTTATCCTTAAATTTTTAAATTTAAATCAACTGCAACACGATAACATTGTCCAAAATTTATTTTTTAGTCGGTTACTAATGTTTAAAGTTTAATATCTTAATGTGGATGAATATTCACCAAAAATTATACAGCGACGAGGAACGATGTGACAAACACATGTACCAAATTGAATAGGCTCCTCTCCGTTCAGTCTAAGCTCCTCCGCCTTATTAGTAAAAAGGGAAATTTAAATTTAAAGGGAGATAGTTTATTTTTGGAATTAGGAGTTTTGTCCATTCGGAAATTATACATTAAATCTGTTATTAAGCTGTTGTACTCCCGAGGGGAGGAGCTCATGAGCATCCCATCAAACAGATTCCCAACCCGTAACCCCTGCTATCTTAACCAACTCATTCCCATCGCAAGGACGACATGGATGACACGGCAGACATGCTTTGTCCTAATAAACATATTTAATAATCTCCACGATGATATTAAAAATAAAATTATCAATAAAGGTGCCAATAGCTTAGCAGTTGTAATTAAAGAAAGCAAAAAATGGCTTAGGAAATTCCTGAGGAGGACTGTGATGGCTATATGAATTAAGATAGAACAAGGGAATGATTTATTTTATTTTCATTTCATTTTATTTTATTTTCTTATTCTAATCCTTAGCCAATGTTCTATTCTTGTAATAATCTCTAGTATTATAAAATCTCTTATTGCGACCTAAGATAGAACAAGGAACTTATTTACTTTCTTTTTTGTTAATTTTAATCTTTAGCCTTGTAATGATCTATTAGGTACTGTAATAATCTCCTATAATATCTCTTATTATTGTAGTAATCTTTGTTATCTCTCCATATTCTAGTGTTAGCCGAATAATTAACTGATTGTGAACTCGCTACCCACCTTCCGGCTTGCCGTTGTGGGGGCGAGGTTCTCAGGTATTTTTTGTTATTTTGTTACTTTTTTGTAAATAAAGAAAACTTACGGACGGACGGACAGACAAAATTTTCTGAAGATTACCTGAAACGGATGAATGTCGAAGAAAATCCCGGAGCTTCGATAATTACATACATCGGAAAATCCGTGGGTTCCCTCCTAGAGTTAGCCCCTAAGACGGGGGTCATCCTCTCGGCTCTTGTTAGGGATGGTTGGGGATGGTTAGGGACGAGGTCGTTTTGTAGAGGGGACCCCTCGGCCGAAGCCCGGAGCCCGCCATTTGCCGAGTTAGCCCCTAAGAGGGGGGTATCCTCTCGGCTCTTGGGGACTTAGAAAAATTTACGAGGTCGTTTTGTATTAGGGGACCCCTCGGCCGAAGCCCGGAGCCCGCCATTTGCCGAGTTAGCCCCTAAGAGGGGTATCCCTCGGCTCTTGGGGACTTGGAAAAATTTACGAGGTCGTTTTGTATTAGGGGACCCCTCGGCCGAAGCCCGGAGCCCGCCATTTGCCGAGTTAGCCCCTAAGAGGGGGTATCCCCTCGGCTCTTGGGGACTTGGAAAAATTTACGAGGTCGTTTTGTATTAGGGGACCCCTCGGCCGAAGCCCGGAGCCCGCCATTTGCCGAGTTAGCCCCTAAGAGGGGGGTATCCCCTCGGCTCTTGGGGACTTGGAAAAATTTACGAGGTCGTTTTGTAGGTCGTTTTGTATTAGGGGACCCCTCGGCCGAAGCCCGGAGCCCGCCATTTGCCGAGTTAGCCCCTAAGAGGGGGTATCCCCTCGGCTCTTGGGGACTTAGAAAAATTTACGAGGTCAGTTTGTGCCGGAAATCCCTTGGTCAATTGCCCCGCGGTATGGCAAATGTGACAAGGAGGAACCGGCCAGCACTTTTCAGTACTACTATATGGCACAGCATCGTCGTCGGGCTAACTTAGCTCTCTTGAGGCGACAATCAGTGTTTGATCGCACCGGCAGCATTCGAGTGGTTTTCTCCCTAACCTGCTCCTAAGCAAAAACGGCGGGAGATGCCCTCGCTCCGGATTTGCGGTCAACGTCCACTTTTGGAAACGCTCAAAATATATCGGATGGACCTTGAGTCCTTGAGTAAATGAAAACTTTACACGTTCAACGTCGCCGTCGGTCCCGCTTGCGGGCCGGCGGTCGGCGGACGTCCGCTAAGATGAAGACTCAATCGGGTCGGTGGCTCCTGCTCGCAGGGGTTCGCCACCGACATTTCAAGAGGT